CAGAGCCTTTCCCACCAGCCCGGAGGGGCTCCCGGCCTCCGGAGACCCTCCTCCCTACGAGGGGAAGAAAAGCAAACGGAGCTCGGACAACGCCGGCACAGAGAGCCCTGCTGAGTCTGCCCCACGCGCTGGGGAGAAGGATCCCGCCGGGCTCCTCTCGGGCCGGGCGGGCGCCTGGACCTGCTGCCCCTTCCCCTGCCCCGGGCCAGGGGTGTACCAGCCGCCTGGCACACTGCCCCCATCACCCTTCCCGGGGCTGGGGCTGTGGAGGAAGAGTGCGGCCGCGCTGCCGGCAGAGGGGCCGCACTTCTGCAAGGAGGCTGACAGCACGGAGCAGAAGCTCTACAGGCCCGTGGTTTTGAAACCCATCCCCACCAAGCCCACTGTCCCCCCGCCGATTTTCAACGTTTTCGGCTATCTTTAGCCGGGGCGAATGTCAGAGTCGCGGTGAACAAGACAGCTCCCGAGGGTGAATTGAGACGCCTGGTCCAGCTGCCGGCAGTGCGGAGCGGCAGAGGGAAGGAGGCTGGCAATCGCATCATCTTTCTTGTGGGCGGGCTGGAGTGAAGTAGTAACTGTTGGGAATCTACTTGGGCTCCACTCTGCTCTCAGCACACAGGTGTATATCAGGAATAAGCCTTATGAAGCCGGTGGCACGGAGCATGAGGCAAACCAGAGGTCTTTCATCAATGGGCATTGTCTAAGCTGTGGCAAGTGGGGCTGCGGGCCATTCATAGCCATGCTCTTAACACCTAGGAGACCTCCTCCATGTGGGAACATCTTTCCAGGGTTGCCCTGTGGCAGCAGCAGCAAAATGAAATTAATTAAACCCATTCAAAGAGTTTTTGTACTTTAAAGTAATTCTGGAGAAGTCAAGATATTCAGGTCGCTTTCTTTTGCATGCAAGAGACTGGAAAGACAGTATTTAATGTAGAAATATGCTTGTGAATTGATTTAAGCTCTTCTTGTATGTAAATACTGAGAGAATTAAAAGAAAAAAATAAGGGAAGAAAGGACGTCATTTTATTTTGGCGATTGTGCAAATGCAGTCTATTCTTGCCCCACTGGGTAGACACAGGTTTGGTTTGCAGTGGGTAGATACGAGGGCTGAAATCTCTACCTATTCAGAGTAACGTAAATCAAAAGTAATTCTTCTGCAGCTGGGAAATTAGCTGGTGTTAAGCTGATGCAAACAGAAGCAGGATGAATTTCAGCATCAGGAATTGTTGTGCATCAACAGAACAAATGTGAAATTGTATAATTAGTTTAATACAAAACCGTAAAATAGATAAGAAAAAAACCTGTATAAAATCGTAAAATAGATAAAAGAAAAAAGTGTATAGAATAGCCTGCCTTGATTTCTGGCTCACACACATATTTCAATTTGCCTGATTTTAAGATGCTATCAAATGATCTGCCTGGTATTTCCCCTACTATTTTAACAAATTGGTGTTAGAAAAGTTAATGGGATTTTTTAAAGTTAGATTTCTCTTAAACTCATGGAGAAAGTGGTGGTAAGGCACAGAACGCGATATCTGAAAGGTTTAATACTGCAGACCTATGTATCTATTCAGTTGTACTGGAGTAAATCACTGAGGTCAAGAGAAGTGTATTATAGGGGGCAGGGCAGGGGGGAAGGGCCAGAGAATGGACACCTGTCATCTCCCAGGGCCTGAACTTGCTCTTGATGAAGCTGTTGGGATTTAATGGATTTTAATGAAAAGTGGCCTTGATCGGCTTGGTCTCTGGCTAGTATAGCTGCCTATGACTCTTGGTATCTCCATAAGGGGAAAAGCAGGCAATACTTCTTTCAAGTGCATTGCATTCATGAAAAAAATTATCATCTTAAGAAATTGTAGAGTATCATTTTGGATCTTCCGATGGGGCTTGGTGTTACATAACCAAGTCGCAACTTTCGTTAGGATATGAACTACTCTCAGGCTAAAAATAGCTCATTCTTTCCCCAGGCCTCATAGCATATCCCACCAATGTTTACTTTTATGGAAACAACAGCTGTAATGTGCTAGTCCAGCTGTCCAAAAGTAGGAAGCACCGGAGCTGCTTTCTCCCAGCTACCAGCGCTTAATATATGTATCAAGCCTGTATAGACTACTCCTATGCGAGAGAGAGCAGGAAATGGCTTTGGTAGCACATACCTGCAACTACATGCGAGGTGCAAGGTGGTAAAGAGCTGATCTAAGGATTAAAGACATCAGGTTAGCTCTTGATCCAGAAGTGAAGATATAAATATGCTTAGATGTCTTTTCCTTTTTTGTCTTTTTGAAACAAAAAATCATGAGGATACTCCGTCTCTCTCCACAACAAAACTCTAACAGAGACCAGAGGCAGTACCCCTATTTAAGTTAATGGAAGGAGCACTATGGCTTTTAATTTGCAGAGCAGTAGAAAAGGAATTTTTTACAAGAAAATGGGGGCTCTTTCTCACACCAGTAGCTCTGTGTCACTGTTGTAATCCAGATGAAGCCAGATGCTGAACTCTGCCTCAGTGCTGGCAATGCAGAGCAGCCTCCTTGGCATTGCTGTGGATGTCCACGACCAAACGAACTAATGCGCTGGGTGTACATGATGGGGTTTTGGTGGCGCGGGAGCGGCTATGAAAATTGCCGCTGTAATTAGCTGCGAAAAGCTCCCCTGGCTCCAAAACTGGTGGGACCGGCCTCTGGCGAGGTTGGACCCACCTGTGGCCAGGTTGGACCCTCCATCCCCTCAGGCCAGGGCCGAGTCAGTTAGTGCCTCTGCCAATGTCCTATTTAAGATGGGGACAAAGGAGCCCTGATCGGGGGCTGGCTCTACACTGAAGAGGCGGGGAGGCGGGGGTCCCGTGCTGCGCCGCCGCTACCTGACTGGAGATGGCCTCAGCGATGTGGCTTGGAGAGCTCTAAAGTGCCCTGCTCCCGGGGCACCCGCTGGGCAGAGTTCAGCCTGCCAGGACTGCTGAGGTTTATCGGGCCCAGCATGGCTGCAGCGGAGAGAGGACTGAGACCCAAGAGAAACAGCCATGCAGACACCAAGGACAGCAAAGATGGAGCGAGAGGAGGTGTGCCCGAGCTGGGATTCCCCTGCAGCCCGTGGTGAGATGGCTGCGGCCCCTCTGCTGCCTTGGGAGATTGACGATGGAGCAGAGATCCACCCGCAGTCCATGGAGAACCCCACGCTGGAACAGAGATGTCTGTGCCTGAAGGAGGTTGTAGAGAATGGTCTCCATTTGCTGCTGGAGGCTGATGGTGAGATGGAGAGGCATCTGAAGCCCGTGGAGAACCCCACGCTGGAGCAGGAGGCAGCTCCCTAAGAAGCCGTGACTCTGTGGGGAAGAAGCTCGTGCTGGAGCAATCTGATGGGTAAGGATTGCATCCTGCAGGAAGGACTCATGTTGGAGAAGTCTGTGGACTGTCCCATGAGGAGGGGGTCCATTGGAGCAGGGGAAAAGAGAGTAAGGAGTCCTCCTCCTTTAGGAAAGGAGCAGCAGAAAAAGCGTGTGATGAACTGACCTGCAGCCCCCCATTCCCTGTCCCCCTGCACCACTGGAGGAGGAGGTAGAGCCAGGAAGAAGGGAGGGGTGGGAGGAAGGTGTTTTTAAGATCTGGCTTTGTTCCTTGTTATCCTCTCTGAATGAACCTTAAGGAATTACACTGATTTGTCCCCAAGCTGAGTCCGTTTTGCCCGGGGCCGTGGTCAGTGGGTGATCCCCTCCTGTTCTTGTCTCAACCCTCAGGCCTTTTGTTACGTTTTTGTCACATTTTTGTCTTCTCCACCTCACTGAGGGGGAGAAGTGAGCTAGTGGCTGAGTGATGGCTGAGCTGCTGCTGGGCTGAACCACGACACAAAGGTATTGCAGTGACCGCTGTGTACAAATGTTCCTGCTTGAGCTGAGAAGGCAAATTTGAAAGTGCTGCGTATTGCAACAGAATATGGATTTATCTCAAAATTAAAATACTTGGCAAAAGTGGATAGCCTCTGTAGAAATTTTATTTCTGAAGAAATCCAGAGAAAGAAGAGAGTTAAGATCAAGTTTCTACTCTTCGGATATTAAATTCTTTGTTTTCTTTTTCTTCTTTAAACTGTTTCTTATTTGAATGTATGTTGCTGTACATTTTCCATGTAGTAGAACAGTATGGTTTTAAGTTACTGTGACGGATTGAATCAGAGCATTCCAAATGACCTCCGACACACAGATATTTATGCACTTAAACATTTAAACTGACGTTATTTTTTAAAATCCTTAAAATCCTTTGTGAATGGAACTTCCCTCCTCAGCCCAGGGCAGGTGGTGGCCCTTGCTGGGGCTCTGAACTGGAGCAGCAATGACAGAAGACAATCGTTAAGTATATTCGAAATCACTGAACAGGGATGTGCAAGACTTTTCAAAAGTTTTGCAAAGAATAGCAACTCTGCCTCCTCTCTAGCAATGCTTACTGTTCTCTCACCCCTGAGATTAACATCAAAATTATTAATTGTTCAAGCTTGGATTGATTCAGAGTTTTCCTGGCTATTTTTGTGTATGGTTGTTCAATGTTGCTATTCAGGACAGCTGATAGCCTTTCAGCCTCTACTTGTTTATTCATACTTTCTTTGAAAGACGGAAACATAACATTTGAGAGCTGCTGTTTACTACAACAATGCAAATTTAAACTGTTAAAACCACAATAGCTTTTATAAATAATAGGAAGGGAGAGATAAATGAAAAAGCTTTCATACAAAATGAAATAAAAAATCAAAAAAGTGCACAAGAACATCAAGTGAATTGCACATGTTGCAGTAAAAAAAAAGTACAGTAACCTAGTCATGAAATATTCCTAGAACATTTCACATAAAGTTGTATCTCTGAAGGATTCTATCTATCACACTCAGTAAAAACAAGCCACTTTACCTTGCACTAGAACTACTGATCTGCTTACAAAGCCTAGTTTGTTTGGGTTTTGGGGTATTCGTCTTTTCACAGTAACTTCTAGATTGATGCATTCAATGCACATGGAATTTGTGCAGATTCAGTATTGTGCACGAAATATCGTGTCAATGACTGGAGTGGAGAGGTAGTGGGCTCCGTTTCAGTGCAAATAAATGTAAACTGAATGTGTGAAGATTTGCTGTAAGGATCAAGCAGAAAGGACTTAATAGCATTGTAATTACCAGATTCCCCTTCCAACAGACTCTCCTCTCCTCAGTCCCTGTGCACAGCGTGCCCTTATCCTTCCTGCAGTTGTGACATGTTACCACCAGACCAGTGCTCTCCAGCTCAGTTACTCTTCTGCTCAGGACAGATGGTTGAGAGCAACTGGGACATGGGTCTTCCGCTAGAGATGAAGGTCTCTTGGTTGAAAGAAGAAATGGGCTTTCCGTATCTGCTCCACTCAAACCCGGTTTCAACTTCTCCAAGGACATAAAAAAAATTGCAACTCATGAGAC